ACACATAACTGCTGGCTGTGGTTAAGCACTGGGAGGACCGCATGCAATATAATCTCATGGACTCATATTCCCAGGTTCATAGAAGGAATTTTCCCTTGTTTTACAGATTTGGCCAAATAAGTTAAGGAGCTTCACTTTATTCTGCCATTTATTGCTAGAAGCCAGGCTGATCCCAGGCCTCATCTGGAAAGCGAAGCACCACATCTTCTCTTGCCTCTAACCAGTCTGATTTGTGCTAGGGCAGTTCTCCATGAATTTTCAGCCCAGGGACACTGTTACACTAAAGGGCTTGATCAATGTCTTTTTTTTTTAAGGATATTATACATGCACGCAGATGACAAGGGAATAATGGCAAGGGAGACATAACTGAGTTAGTTTCAGCAGAGGAGAGGTTAACGGAGATGGTGGTCTGCACTGCAGGCAGCCTGCTATGGTAGTGAGATATCCTCAGTTGCTGGAGAGAGCTTCTCAAGTGCTAAAGGAAAACCCCAAACTCCACTGCTACGGGTTTCCTAGAGACAGGCGGCTGTAAGGTGACACTATCCCAGTATTTAGGAGATTCAGAAATGAGAGAGAAAGGGGAGAAGGACTGAGCAGTGGTGGTATGAGACAGGATGAAATATGGCAGGGAAGATATGGAGGAGCTGAAAAGTAGAACTGATATGTCTCAGGTTCACTGCTTTGGTATTTTCCTCTTTTGCCCCTTCTTTATCAAAGCTGAGATCTTTTAGGGCAAGTAGGGTTTTTTCCTTACTTGTTTATTAAATACTTATTGTGAAGCCTTGTGTCTGATTGTTTTATCTGCTTCTTCACTGTGCTCACCTCACAGGGCATACAGAGCTCTTATAAACATCACCACAGAGTAGGAATAGCTGCTGTTATGATGCTCACCCTCTGACATTGCCCTGTGGGGAGGCTCTTCCCCACTCAAGCTGCAGGCGTTTTTCAGTAGTCAGTGGTGCGGAGTGGAGTCACAGGAGAAAGGCAAGCAAAGGAGAAGAGCCCTTTAACTGACCTGTGAAACAGCCTGTGCTCGTGGTGTCTCTTCCCTGGGCTGTCTTAATACAATCCTTCCCCAACCCTTTTCCACCCTAACCAGAAAGCAGCAAGCAGCTGTTTCTCCAAACATTGCTTTGACTATTTTCCTGACAGACTAACCCAACAGCCCCTAGATTTCCCACCCTGACCTGAGAGGCTGGCACTGCCATCCTTGAAAATGTTGCTGTGCTCAAAGGATAATGCAAAGAAGCTGCTGTTGGTCCCAGAGGGTCTCAGTTGTCCCCACACCCTCTCCTCACCAGGTAGCACCCAGCAGTGTAGGTGGCAGGAGCTGTCAGGACTGCTTCATAATGGTCTTCAGCTTAATTCCCTTTCTAAACTGGAAAGGGACTCTGGGCTGCATGGCAATCTGGTGACAGATGACAGTACAACTGAGTGCAGGCAGCTGAAGACCCCATGTGTTGTCCCACAGTAATACCAGCTTAACGATGGCATCCCTTTTCTAGTGAGAGCTGGTGTGTGCCCTGAGATTTGGCAGTGGCTGGGCTGGGCTTCTGTCCTGGTGAGCTAATTTTTTCTGTCATATCACTTTCTTCTCAGTCTGCTGTTTGTAGTTATGGTTTGGTAAATATGGTTTCCTTAAATATGTGCTTAAATGTATTCATGTACTGTCAGGTTTTCAGCTTCATTTCCTAAGGATATGAGACCCTTGCTATTCTCTTCTCTCTCCACCTCAGATCTGTCAGCTGCCTCCCATAATATTTTTTCTAGCTGTTGGCCCTTTTAAGTCAAAATTTGCAGAGTGAGGAGTCTCAGGCATAATGAAGTTATTGCAAGCTTTGTGAAGAGCAAGGACTTGGAAGGGAAGAGACTGAAGTGCCCTTAAAGAAGGAAATATTGTTATGTGAACTCAACCCCTGTTAGACACCAAAGGACCCAGGTAAGAGAGACACTCATGTGCTCCTCACTCATGGGAGAAGCCCCAGTCAGAGTTTCTTACTGACACAAGCCACATATTTCAAGGAAAACATCCTTGTGGTCAAGGGACAATTTATTCCTGGATTAGAGGAGAGTTTGCCAACACTCATCTTGCACTTGAGTGCTTTGTAGCTGTGGCTTTTTTCCATGTGCTGAAGCCCAAACTGGTGGCTGATCTGGATCAAAAAGGAACTGGTCAGCACTGCTGGATCTTTGGCTTGCTTCAGCAACATGCCATGCTGTCTACTACCTGGGCACATCTGGGAGTTTCTCCTAGCAAATTTGCAGGAACCCAGTCACTGGATCCCTCCTACTCTCTTCTTGGTGTCTAAGATATTCCTTCAGGTCTTTGGTCTTTGGAATTATAAATTTCTTATGAGATACATATGGGAGAAACAGAAAGGATGGACTGTTTGGGGCTTTTCTGGACTTAACATCCATTAAGCCCATTCCTTCCCATGTGCACATGCACTGATGTTCATCAAGGAATAGGTCATAACAACCCTTAGCCACGCAGCTCAGATCTTTGCTTAGCTTCACATCTGCCTGTGTTTTGGATGAAGGCTTCCTATTGTTCCTAATGATGGTGACCAGTGACATTGTATGGAAGTGGGGGGTAAGGTTATGATGTTTTTCAGGCTGTGGAAGCAGCACGTCTTGTGAGTCAGCACATAAATTCTCAGCACAGTAAGATGGAAAAACCTGAGGTGCTCCAGAAAGGCATTTTACCACAGGCAGCACCCAACACTGGGAACATCCCAAGCTAGCTGACAGGGAATAGCAAAGGCTGAGGTGTTTGCATATAGATACCTCATTTCAGGCATAAAGGACCTTCAGCACTCAGAGTCCTGAACCCTCTACTGAAATTAGATACATGAAGCCTTCCTGAGTGAACTTTTCCCAGGTTTGGCTGGAAGGAGAGGCCCTGTCTCTGCTCCTGTGCCTATCCAGCAGCTCACTATTCTGAGTACTTGCTCAGATTACGGGAGATCTGGCTTCAGCTACTGACTGCCTCCAGAGAGACCAATCCCAGGCAGTTCATGACCTGGGTGAATGGCTCCACACCTCAGTCATGGAACCACTGAGTCATTTCTTCCCCTCTCCCTGCCCTGGTGAACATCCATGAAGTCCCACAGCTGGATTAATACCTGACAGAGTAGATTAATACCTGGCTTGCCCTTTATTTGCATGAGTGCTCCCAGATTTGAGTTCTTAGCACAGAAATTGGGAGCACCGGCACCTTGCTGAGCTGTGTCCTGTGCAGGATACAATCTCTTTCCTTCTGAGATCTTTTCCCCGTTTCATTCCCTCAGGTGACAGAGGCAAAGGGGTGCTCAGTCTGCAGGTTGCTCTTGTTCTTGGGCTGTCAGCTTGCTGCTGCTCCAATTACCAGTCTGGGGCGGGGGTGCTATGAAACTTTGAGACATTCACTGAATCAGCACTGCAAGTGGTTGGCAAATTTTGAGGTGAAAGCCATGACTGTCAGTTGCTGTATGGCATGGTTAGCTGGTAGCTGAGCATTAGTGGACTGAAGCACTACCATCATGTAAAGTCTGCTGCAGATCTTATATTCAATCTCTTGCCCAAGGTCATATAAGAAGTCCATGGCAGAGAGGCAATTGAAAATCAAATCACCAGAGTCCTAAGCTAATGTGCTCACTGCTGGATCAAACCCTGCAAAATAAAAGCTTTAAGACAGATTGTATTGTAGCCATCGCAAACCTTGATATGACTGATTTTTAACAAGGGTATAGGTGTCATCGGGACTAAAACTGAAAGTACACAGCAGATACCTGCTTCTGTCAGGTTTCTATAAATAAGTATTTAGTAACTGCTTGCCATCTATCGAGCACAAAATAGCTATCCTATTAAATAACAATGCAATTACACTACCAACCATAAACATGTCAACTGGAGTTTCAGCATTATTTTTCCTTTACTTTGCCAACTGTTATTTGATCGCTCACCCGGAGCAAGTGACTGTTCCTTGACAAGTGAGTAAAACCTGCTTAGTTTTTGAATCTTTCCTCTTGTCAGCCTTGCTGAGGAGGTCAGCAGACTTTGAACTTGACATTGCACTTTTAGGTCCTAGCCCTGAGCAAGTGTATTTTCTAATTTGCAATCTCTATATTCCTAGGGGTGCAATGCATTTTCTCTTTAGATCTGATAAATAAAGCTTATGTGTTTCTTCTGCAATTCTCACTTTCTTTCCAAATGTGTCTTTTACTTAAGAGGGAATATTTGTAAGCCCTTGGTAGGAAACAAGCACCTAACAGTCTAAGCTTGCTGCTGTATGTTTCCCTAGATTACAGCTACACTACAAGGAAGAATGCTATGAATCTACCTTGCAATTTTTACCATGATTTATTTTACTGAGGATTAATTAATCATTCTTTCACCAAAGAATTAACAACGCCCTTTTTCCAGCACAGAAGTGAGTGACTGCATTAACAAGTGGCTACAGACTGATTTCAAGCAAGTAACCAAGTGTCAGAAAAACAAAAAAGGGATTTAATGCTGCACCAATGGGGAGCTTTTGAGTTGGGGAGGTAAGACGCGCATTTGCAGCACAGTCTAGTAAGGCTTCTTGGCTGATTGCTCCTAGTAGGACAGAAAGTGGGACTGAATCCAGAACACAAGGGGGATACTGTCTTGCACAGAAAATGAAAGCATCTAAAAATCTCAAGCTACGGACTCAGGTCAGTGCTGAGATTTGGGAAAACTCAACTGAGCAGAGTTCACACTGCTGAGGTTTGCAAGGTTGCTCTCTATATTGGGGTTCTGACATGCAATCTGGAAAGGCTATTTCCCAGCAAACATCTCAGAGAAGCACAAAAGAGATTTTTTTCCTGGGCTTTGCAGAACTCAGGGGCTAACTCAAATCCAAGTAAACAAACCCAAAATTTGGATGCTCAACACCCCTCTGCACAAGACCCTCTGACTGTCCTGTCCTGTGGCTCCTCTCCACGGCTCCAAACGACACTGTGGTACTGACCCCAGGTGGGACACGCAGTGGTGCTTACCTCCAGGACCATCTCTGTCATCTGGAACTGCTTCTGGGAGACCTTGTCAGAGCTCACTGGCTCATGGAAGAGCAGGCAGAGCATGTCGTACTTCTTCAGGGCCTGCTTGTAGTTCTTCTCATTCAGGTCAATCACCCGATCTTTCCCATCGTAAGTGGGGAAGTTCAGTCCCTCTTCTGCCTTGCAGCAGAAAAGCAGGTAAAAACCTGCTAGGATCCAGCAAGTCGCCTTCATGGGGGAGCACTTGGAGTGCAGCAGAGGGTGGGTAAACGTCCCCCTTCTTAACTTGGGAAGAGGAGGAGACCAAAGGCTCCAACTGAAGTTTGTACGTAGTTTCTCTTTCTACTCCCTTCCTAGTAATCAGCCCGGGCTCTGCAAGGCTGGTGAGGAGCAGCAAGTGGATCAGCCCAAACTGCCGTCCAGGGCTCACAACAAAGAGACAGACAGGAGAAGCTGTCAGGCCAAGCCCTGGATACCTTACATAGCTGTGTCCAGCTCCCGTGTCATTAGGAACTCCATTTTTAGGAAGCAGTTGTTTCAGGCTAAAAATAACCCCTGCAATGAATAAAAAGGACAGATATGACACCATTGAGGGACTTGCTGGCACTCTGCATCATCTGAGAGAGAGGGAGCGAGCAAGAGAGAGGGAGCGGAAGATGTCGGTGCTGGAAATACGTGGGCAGGGTTTGCGAAGCGACAGGCTTCACTTTTTCAAGGAACCAAGGCACAGCCTGTCCTACTAGGGCTTAACAGAAATAGAAGGTATTTACTGCATTTTTTAATAAGGATTTCTCTCCTTGTAACCCCTTGGGCATCTCAGTGATTAGGCTTTGGGTAACAGATCTTGGATTAAACTGTTTCAGAGCCTCATCTGCACCGCTAGAGGAAACGTCCTGTTTCCTTAGCAGCAAAGGAGGTGAGCACTCATGGGACTCCCTCCTCCTTCTGCCTGGGGAATTGTCCTGAGCTGCCTGCTGACATTCAGGCTCATTTCTGAAGCGCCTTCTCTGCTTGCAGAGTATCAAGAGAATTGTTGGCTCTTGGATCTGCAATCCCAAGGCAGAGGGCAGCTTAAGTTGCAACCTCCCATGCCCAGCACAGTTACCAAGACTCATACATTGCTGCATTGCCCACACCACGCTGCCGAGGGCAGAACAGCTCAGTGGCGCTGTCTTCCACCCTCTTCCCCTCCTCTGACTGGGCTGTCACAGCTGCCTCATGACTGACAGCAACAGGCAGGTGGAGGCAGGCCATATGGCCACATGCCAGCACCAGGTCTGACACAGATCTGCTGGAGAAGGCACTCTGAGGGGCTGGCAGAGAGGACCATGGCAGGGGGCACATGTCCCACCCCCTCCACTGAAGTGATGTGCAGACAAGTGGCCTTATCAGGCCTCTTCCTTGTGTGTTCCTCCATCACAGCCTTGCTCCATCCACACTGGGGAGTAGATGATGTCCTTTCTCAGTGCATGTACTCTTGTCCCAACCAGCTGTTCCCATTTAATTGTATGGCTGGGATTATTTCAATATTTGGGGTGAAAGGCAAGCATTACTCAGCAATTATAGAATCATTTAGGTTAGAAAGGACGTCTAAGATCATTGAGCTCAACTATAAACCTAACACTGCTAAGTCCACCACTAAACCATGTCCCTAAGTGCCACATCTACACATCTTTTAAATACCTCCAGGGATGGTGACTCCTCCACTTCCCTGGGCAGATTATACCCATCTCCTGGGTGATTTAGGGCACACATCCCCTCAGCTTTCACTTCCATCATGAACAGCTTACAACATACTGACTGAAACTCCATGGGTAACAGTTTCCAAGTCTGTCTTATTTTCAAAGCCTCCTTTTAGTTTCTGCTCATGCCTTTTCAGAAGTTCAATATTTGCCTGCAACTTGAAGTCCTAATGATGAAGCCTGAGGAATGTGGGTAGAAGCCAGAGCAAGACAGCCTCAGAAATACATCCCCTATGGAGGCATCCCTTAGCAGTAGCCACTGTGACAAACCTGGAAACATCTAATTGCTTTTAGTGAGAGACACAAGACTTGGGTCACAGGGGGTGGCAATGGCTTTTGCTGAAGGTTTAGGCTGTAAAATACACAACTGAACTACTGGGATGCCCAGGCATACACCAGGCTCGTTGGCTGCCTTTGAAAGACCCCATGGATTTGGGGTGCAGGAGCAGGCTTCTGCTGGCATGGGAGTGTGTTTCAAAGCAGGCACACATTGAACAGGGCTGTAAAAAATAAATGTTCACCACTGCTTCAAAATCAGTTTCCCAGGCTCCTGCTCTCCTTTTATTCTTGTAGATCTTCAGCAATTGGTCCACTTTCACATCTCTCAAGCTATTTTTGAGGCTCTTTCTCTCTAGCCTGAAAAACTTTTTAATCTGCCTAAGAATAGACACAATCCAATTTTCATTTTCTCCTCTTTTTGATACAAAAAAGGAAGAAAAAGGCTTTTTATTCACAAAAAGTGTTGCCTCATTAGTCCCAGACACATCTATTTCATCTGCCTGTGACATGAGTAGCAAAGACCTGTGACTCCACAGAGAGTCACACCCCTGCTCCAAAGGGAATTCCTCCAGCAGACCAGCACTGGATGTCATGGTCACCAGAGAGTCCATCTCTCTGCCTCTCCAGTCAAAACCTCAGTGAGACTATTAGTGCTAAATCCAGTGGACATTTTGGGGCAGGCTCACTGTCAAGAAAAGGACAGTGTGTAGACATCATGGATTTGGGGAACCTGAGCTTTGTTGAAGGCCCATTTCTACTGGACAGTGATGGAAGGTTTGTCTGTGTGCCAGATCCTCCTCTGTGAAGTAAGAGCAGTAGCGCTTCCCCATCGGAGAAGAGGATGAGGGGGACAAAGAACTTTTCTGTGAAATCTTGGGTTTTGCATTCACAGGTTCACTACAAATACTTCATGCTATGCATAGTACAAGGTCTTCCTGATCCCATTTAGCTGCCTATGGTTGCAACACATCTGTTTCTGTGGCCAAGGCCATGCAAGGAATGATATGGTCAGCACTGTGTCCTGGGACATTTGCCCTTCAGCTCATTCCCTGGCAAAGCTGGCATCTGTTAGTCTCTGACATAAGTTGACCACAAGACAGCCTCCTGACTGACTCCTTAAATGTGTTTTAATCTTACCTCTAGAAATCAGTATGATACTCTTCTCTGGTAAACCATCCCTGAAAAGCTCTCTGAGAAATGAGCTTATAGGGCTCAGTGCCCATGCACCTGGGCAGGTGCCTATGTTGTTCAAACAACCTTCTGGATTGGCCCCAACACTTCAGGTGAAGAAAGAGAGAATTAAAGAAAAAGCCTGCTGTTGCTTTATCCTCTGTTCTAGGCTCTTTGGGGTATATTCCTTGCGCAAAATCCTGGCACCAGGGAGTTAGGTTGCTAAACCACCTCTGATATGCATTGAAGTAGGATTTTACTTTGTTTCTTTCAAATCTGTTGGGATAGGTAACCAGCAATAGAAATGCAAGGTGGGGGATGTAGGATAAATAAAAATCTTCTTGTTGATTTTTTTTCCTACTTGTATTAAAAATTGGGGATATCCACTCACTGCTCCTCCCTTCTGGCCACTGCAGCCGCACTCTGTTCTGCCATTCTCACCTTCACTGTCCTTTCTAGCAGTAAAAGAGATCCCCAGGCACTGCTGATCCAAATGCTTTGGTGAGCCTTTTTTCCAGGGCTTCAGGATTTAAGGTTCTGCTTTAGCTAATCTCTTTTCAAGCTTCTAAGTCCTTGTATGTTTTGCAAGATAGGAGTATTCAGAAAATACGACTCTTGCCACCAGCTAGCCTAGCAAGGTCACAGCTCATAATAACTTTAAGTGTACTGCTGTCATTAGGGGTGGAAGCCTCAGAGACTCAGTGAACCTTTCTAAGGAGACTGAGGGGATCACTATAACCTCAAAGAAAGCTCTGCAGTATGAGAAAACCTTGTTCTCTCTCCCTTCCCTTGAGTCTGAAAGGTAGCAGGTCCTTCATGGTGCTTTACATTGCCTGTAGTCCAATGCAGTTATGTCAGTCATGGCAAGTACAAGGGAGAGAAGTTGTATTATTTGCACTCCCCCCATTTTTTTCCTGTTTTAAACTGCCAAAGATATTTGAGTATTTTGCCTGAGGTGTCCCGAGACCTGCCGTGTGATAAGAAGATGCTATAAACCCTCTTGTTTTCTGACACACAGACACTGCTTTAAATGAGGAAAATAAAAAAAAAAATAAAACACAACACAGACAAAAAGACTAATATGAAATATATTCAAGTTGTAAAGGGAAGGTAAACAAGGTGACTCAGAAATTCTGACTCCCTCTGAGCAACGTAGGGTCTCTGCTCATTGACATTTAAAAAAAGTAATGTATTTTTCAAAAAAGCTATGTTGCTCTGTGGCACCTTTTGGGGATCATTGCACCTCTCTGCCTTTGGGGGCTGGCCTGGCACCTGTGTCTTATACAGGTCAGAAAGTAGTTCAGAAGGTCAGACTAGGACTGTCCTAGGGGGATCGAGATAGTTACCTCCTGGTGATTTTATAATCCCTACACAGCAAGAAGGGATTTAACTCAGATACCGCTCAGGGTCAAATGGAAACAGGCCCATTGGCTTGGATGGAAGTGGCTGAGAAGGGGAGCACTAAAGTAAAAATGAAAAGAATAAGGAGAAATGCTAGAAGCAGACAAGGCTGCTTCTCCATGCAGAGGTCTGGCAAGTGACATCCAACTTGTGGTGGTGGCTGAAGGATCCATCGAGTGGACTGGAAAATGCTGCAGATAGCCTGCAGCAGGACACAGAGGCAGTGACCTGCCTACCCCTCCTGGCTGGAGCAGGGTATGAATTATCCATATACAACTCACCTGGAAAGGGTAGAGAGGCTGTCCAAGGGGCTTCCTGCAGATAACACTGGAATGGGAGGATTTTCTACATTGTTTCTGTTGTTTGCATAAGAGACAGCGAAGAGATGCTACATCTAATACACCTAGAGAGTTTCAAAGAAAGAAGAGCTTAAACTTGGCATTATATGAAACCCAGCTGGGACAAAGCTTTGCTCCTGGTCGTACCTGCATTACATTAGACATGTTAGAAGAAGCCTGAATCCTACTAATGAGTGGGTAGAGAGATGGTAAAAAAACCCAAAACCCTAAGCTGAATATGTTCCAGGATAGACCATTTCATAAGCTGCAGGCCCCAATCATACTTGGTAAGCGTGCAGGGCTACCCTTAGGTGTCCCATTGTTCCCTCTGCTTTTGTCTGGAAAACCTCCTCTCTCCTAGGATGAAGTAACTGCCATCCTACCTAAAGAAGCCAGACACATATTTATTCACTGAGACACTAACGGGATCCCACATCTGCAGTTTGCAGGACGTTTTCACTGCAGAGCTGGGCAAAGGGGGTCTCTGTTTGTGGCTGTGTTTG